TGGCAAGTTGACATTCAAAACTAACCATCATAATTACCAAACTCAGACAAATATTGTGAAATTAATTCTATGAAGCACTTGGCACATGGTTGATATTCAACAAAAGTATTGCTTTGTACCAGTGAAGGAGAGGTGGGCTAAACAAAGAAGAAGGAAGCACCAAGAGTGCTTTACTACAGGTCTCTCTCTCTAAATAACTCATCTAAGTTTTACTTTGTGTGACTGGTGTGAAGGTATCAGATCCCCTGGAACTGGAGTTACAGATAGTTTTGAGCTGATATGTGGGTGCTGGGAATTGAACCCGGGTCCTGGAAGAGCAGCCAGTGCTCTTAACCATTGAGCCATCTCTCTAGCCCCAGGTCTCTTTTTTAAGGTCTAAGGTTTGCAAGTCAGTGCCATAGAGTAACAAACTGTCCATCTGCAGAGACCTTTACCCACCTCTATATACACTGCCACACAAAACCCGCCTGCCCTGCTCCCAACCCACCATTCTGCTTTCTGTGTCTGTTACTGAAGGGGCCTCATAGTATGCTTTTTGTTTGTTTTGTTTGCTTGTTTTTTGTTTAGCTTTGGTTTGGTTTTTTGAGGAAGGGTTCCTCTTTAGCCCTGACTGTCCTGGAACTCACTCTGTAGACCAGTCTGGCCTTGAACTCAGAGATCCGCCTGCCTCTGCCTCCTGAGTGCTAGGATTAAAGGCTCGCGCCACAGCACCTATCTTATAGTATGTTTGTGTGTGTGTGTGTGTCTGATTTAGTTTGTTTAACACAGTATCCTCAGGGTTTACCCATGTTGCATGGATGTATGCATGTATCAAAATTCCCTCCCTTTTTAAAGCAGAATAGTAGTCTATTTTATGGAATACCACATTTTGCTTATCCACCCATCTGAGAGTGACCACTTGGGTTGCCTCTATTTCTTGCCCACTATGACTATTGTGGATATGAACATGGATGTATAAATGTTTCTTTGAGTCTCTGCTTTTAGTTTTGTTTTTTTCCCCTTTGGTGTATACCCAGAAATTGAGTTGTTGAGTCATATAGTAGTTCTGTTTTTGCTTTCTGAGGAACTTCCATAGAGTTAATATGGCCAGAGGACTATTTGATAGGGAAGTATAAGCAATAGAGTTCCCCCAAGGAATAATATGAAAACCAGTCTTGCTTGACATTTTATAAGTTGCCTAAATATGAAACTTTTACTATTAAATTTTATTTTCATATGGATATATATTAATGTATAATATGGGTAATGTATATTATATAGAATTTAGAAAAGAGGCCGGGCGCTGGTGGCACGCCTTTAATCCCAGCACTGGGGAGGCAGAGGCAGCCAGATCTCTGTGAGTTCAGAGGCCAGCCTGGTCTACGGAGCGAGTTCCAGGACAGCCTTCAAAACAATATGGAGAAACTCTGTCTTGGGGAAAAAAAAAAGAATTTAGAAAAGAGAGGGAGAAAACAGAGAAGTGGTTATTAAAGCTTAATAAATGGGTACACCTAAAGGGTTACTCTATTATGTACTCCTCCCCTCAAGGACAAAGGACAAATCCCAGTTACATGGGTTAGTGCCTTCTTTCTGGACACAGAGAGCTTCTTGTATCAAACGCATGAAAGCATGCAGACATCTTGTTCTCAACTTCTTGGTACCAAAGAATAAGTTGACACTTGAGACTGGAGGTCAGTGGTCTCAGCTATGACTGTGTCCTATGGGAAATTTTTAGAAATGTCTGAGGACACCTTGGGTCATCCTAGCTGGTGGGGAACTACTGCAGCTAATGCTCAGAGACCAGAAACATGCTATAGTACCCAGGAAAGCTCAACAAAGGATGTCTTAGGGACTAGAGAGACGGCTCAGTGGGCAATAGCACTTACTGTGCAAACATTAGGACATGAGTTCAGGTCATAGCACCAACATGGTCAGGCATGGTCACATGACCTGTAACCCCAGCACTGGAGAGTGGAGATGAAAGGATCCCTCCTCCAAGTTCAATAAGAGAACCTGTTTGAGGGAGTAAGACAGAGAACAAACAATAAAACAGGATACTTGGTGTCCTAGCCTCTGAAAGTATACACATAGTCAGTCACACTACACACATATAGAGGCAGTTGCAACACACACACACACATCATCATCATCATCATCATCTCAAGGCTAGGATACCTTACTTCAAATCCAAGCTACCTTCTCAGCCTTGTCTTTAGTCTCCCTCTTATATAAAGCTGCTGTCCCAGCCAGGTCCAAGAGCTTTGTAAACCCACCCCATTCTGTAGTTAATTGCTTTTCTCGGGACCTTTTCTGGCCTCCTGTGGGGTGGTCCAAAAGCTCTGCACTTACTTGACAACAGAAGGTAGTACTTCCTGACTTCCTGGTTTACAGAGAATAATTGCAAGTCTTGTTGTTATGGTTTGGTTTGGAATTTGAAGTGCCAGGTTGGAGCTGGTGGCACAGGCCTATAATCCCAGCTAGTTGAGACATGAGACAGGATTGTGGGTATAGGGCTGTCCTGAGCAATTTAACAAGAATATTTCTCAGAAAGATAAGCCCTAGACACATTGGTCAGCTGTGCTTGTCTAGCATGCACATAGCTGTGGGTTGAGTTCCCATGGCTATACTAGTTATGGTGGCACATACCTGTAATCCTACTGCTTGGGAGATAGCAGCAGGAAGATCAGAAATTCAAGGTCATTTTTGGCTACATAGCAAGTTCAAGGTCAGCCTGAGATACAGGAGTCAAACATAATGTTAAAGTTGAAAGGGGAACTGGGGAAAATGCTTGCACAAGGCCCTAGGTTCAAGCCTCAGTAATGTGAAGTAGTGCCCTGTAGGCCCCAGAGAACACATCTGCCTTCACCCACCCAGGACTTTCTATGGCAGCTCTCCTGTGGTTGAATTGCCTCTGCTCCATCCCAGCTGTGCCTCGAGATGTAATTTGCTTAGAGAACCAGTGGATGGGGATTGGACCTCATAGCTGGACCTACTTAATGCCGTCCAGTGTGATGACAGTCAAATGAGTGATAAGAAAACATCTCTTCTTGTGTAGAACCCAGTGTGTACCAGGCCCCAGCCAAGGCATTTTATGTCTAGATTTCCTTCTAGCTATCTTTTTTAAATTTATTTTTATTATTTTATGTGCATTGATGTTTGGCCTGCATATATGTCTGTGTGAGGATGCCAGATCTGCTGGAACTGGAGTTACAGACAGCTGTGAGCTGCCATGTGGGTGCTGGGAATTGAACTCGGGTCCTCTGGAAGAGCAGCCAGTGCTCTTAACCTCTGAGCCGTCTCTCCAGCCCCTCCTTCTAGTTATCTAACCCAGACATTTTACTCCTGTGGTTTTGGAGGGAAGCTGAAGCTTTGAGAATAGAATTTGCCAAGACCACTTAGTTAACAAAAGCAGGGCTAGAATTTAAACACGACCTTCTGAGCTAAGCCTCCGCCACCACCTCATTGTCTTGAGGATACCAACCCTCCACCCCATGCCATTGCTAATAGGAGACCCAAAGCCATAGGTCAAAGGGCAGAGACTCCTTGTGGTCTCACTAGTGAGGTGGCTGAGTAGTGGATCTGCTGCCATAAGGACCAGGTTTCAACAGCTCAGGAATTGAAGGGGAGTCACAGAGTCGGTGGAGTGATCATTCAATTGACTTTTCTATCTGAGGGAGTAAAATTTAACTCTATGGGGCCACTGAAAGACACACACACACACACACACACACACACACACACACACACACACACACACACACTCACACTCACACTCCCTCCAACATGTCAGGATCTCACCTAGGGTGCTGATGAATGGCCAGCCTTCAGCAGGTCTGAATAGGAGATGCAGAGCAGGCAAACTACTGAACAGACAGACAGACACATGAGGACTTCAGTGAGAGCCAAAGTGTAGTTCTTCATTTTATTATTCCTTCTGCTGCTTGTTCACTCTATTCTTTTTCTGTTCTGTTCTTCTACCCTGGTATTTCCTTTCTTCTTGTCTTTATTTTTTTCCCTTACAACTTATATACCCCAGCAAAACCTTTCAGCACTATAAAAATTAAATATGTTTACATTCTATTTTTAAGTGAATGATTACAATGAGTACAAGTGAAAAACAACACATTCCCATTTCCTTATACATGATTAAATATTTCGCATATTTCAGGTGAAAAGCAAATTGTCCCCAAGAACCCACATGCAGTTAAACTGTGATCTTTTAGACTTCTCACAGATCAGGAGCCTGGCAACCATAGCAGTGGTGTTTATAATTGCCAGAAAAACAGGTTATTTGTTTTACTTTTTATATTAGAATCCTGTCCAGTTATCTAAACTAACCATCTAATTCTTTGTTTTTTAGTTACATGAAATCAATTGTTTAAATCCTTGTTTTAGCTATGATGCACACCGAAACCCACAAACACATTTCCCAATATCAGAAGGAACCTGAGCTAACTCCTGGGACTCAATTGTTTTCCTCAATCAAAGACCTAGCTGCATTGTCCTTTCTTGTTTTTATTTTCTATCCTCTGTACCCCCTGCCTTATCAGGGATGGGGGCAACACCATATCCTACTTTTACCTATATTAATGTTTCCACTAAATTAACCTCTATTATAATCTCTTACTACATTTTTTAAAAACCTTTAATTGTCAAAATCCTATTTAAACTATCATTGTATAAAGTCATAACTTAAACAGTTTAAGATAAAAATGTCCAATAGAGTGGGATATTTCCATCAGATAATCATACTGTACTAAAGGCTGTGCCTTTACATTTTTCTCTGGTATTTAGTATGTAAAGGCACAGCAGTAGCAAGAGAAATTCTGGAGCCGAAGCCCTGAGGGCCTTGTGTATCTGAGATTTTCCCATCAGTGCCTTGCATTCTGGTGAGCTGACTCCTGCTGTGCCTCTGGCATGGCCACCAGCGTGGATCAGAGTGTGGCCTGTCTGACCCCTCTACTGCTGTCACCAAAGGAACCACGGTGCTGTGCTGAGTCTTCTTGTTGTCTCTCTTGTAGGTGCACTACATCCTTCAGGAGGTGGTGATGGGTGGGATGGTGTTAGAAACAAACATGAATGAAATTGTGGCTCAAATTGAAGCTCAAAACAGACTGGAGAAGTCAGAGGTAAGGAAGTAGCTACACTCATGCCCTGGCTGTGTAGAGAGCACTGGGCAGAGGGAGGAGCGTGTACTTGTGTAGCATGTGCAGCTTATGTATGCTCTGTGGGCTTGTGTGAGCTTGTATGTGCTGTGTAGCTTTGTGTATGCTATATGAGTGTGTGTGTGCTATGTGCGCCTGTGTATACTGTGTGGGTTCATGTGAGCTTGTGTGGGCTGTGTGGGTTTGTGTATGATGTGTGGGTTTATGTAGGTTCATATGAGCTTGTATGGGCTGTGTGGGTTTGTGGATGCTATGTGGGTCTGTGTTTGATATGTGGATCGTGTAGGTTCATATGAGCTTGTATGGGCTGTGTGGGTTTGTGGATGCTATGTGCGCCTGTGTAGACTGTGTGGGCTCATGTGAGCTTGTGTGTACTGTGTGGGTTTGTGGATGCTATGTGCGCCTGTGTAGACTGTGTGGGCTCATGTGAGCTTGTGTGTACTGTGTAGGTTTGTGGATGCTATGTGAGTTTGTGGATGCTAGGTGGGCTCATGTGTCTTGTCTGTGCTATGTGTGCTTCTATGGTTTGTGTGGCTTATGTTTCTCTGGGTCCTTAGGAGGTGGGTCTCACTCTGTCTCTATTTGTCTCCACTAACTTGAAGGCTAGTATAAACACTAAACAGGTAGGGCAACTTGAGATGTCAGGCTTAAAGGACAGGCAGATGGCAGAAAAAGCAAACAGCTTCTAGAATATGGTTACAGCACACATTTGTGGTGCTTGTGTGTATCTATCTGTTCTTCCAGAAACCATATCTCATGATAGGAATTCAAGATTCCGTATTTGCAGTGAGACTTCTGCAAAACTACAATAATGCTGATTTGAAAATATACCCATCTGGGAGACGGTGGCGCACACCTTTAGTCCCAGCACTGGGAAGGCAGAGGCAAGCAGATCTCTGAGTTCAAAGGCCAGCCTGGTCTGCATAGCCAGGGGCTACACAGAGAAATCCTGTCTGGAAAATCAACAGCAACAAAGAAAATCCCATACCCACCCCATCTTCATGTGGCAACAGACTTGATGGAGAAGCTCCTGGTAAAGCCAGGCCTGTCCCACTGTGGTCTTAGCCTTCCCAGCCCTGCAGTGAGCAAGGCTAGAGGCCTACTCCTCATGGCTGCAGAAATAGTGGAATAGTGACATCCCTATCTGAGTGTCTTCGAGGGTTTGTTTCCTTTATGCAGCGGAGCCTGTCTTACAAAACCAGGATTTCTTCCTGTGAGGACTGCTGATCCTGTTGGAGAAGCTTTTCTAGCCACGGCTCTGGCTGCTAGAGTTTCCTGAGGAGTGTCGGCTGGGGAGTGAGCGTTTCCAGGCAGAGTGAGTGAGTCAGGCCAGGGGTCTAAACCACAGAGACAACCAGCGGGAGGGGGAGTGGGAATGGGCTTCCTGAGAGTTAGGGAACAGTGAGTTTCCCCAGTCTTTGTCACTTGTCCCTCTCCACTCCTGGGTGAGCCTGTGGGGTGTCTGCTCAGCTCCCAGTCCCTGTCGGTGCTTCCCAGCTCACACCGAGTGTTCCTTTAAAGAATTTCTCCAACTTAGCATTTTCCTGTAATTTTTGTTGTTGTTGTTTTTCAGACAGGGTTTCTCTGTGTAACAGTTCTGGCCTCGAACTCACAGAGATTCACCTGCCTCTGCCTCCCCAGGTGCTGGAGTTAAAGGTGTGTGTGGTGGACTCTTGAAGAAAGGGTTTTGTTTTGTTTTGTTTTGCTTTGCTTTGCTTTGTAAATCGAGTATCCTCAATGCTTAAAACTTGGATAAAACCATATCAGAGTCCCTCAGCAACCGTTTATTGAGCATCAACCACAGGCCATGAGCACTGTTAGATGCTACAGCTGCAAAACTGCGCAAGACACACCCCCTGCTGCAGACCATATAGTGGGCCGGCTGTGCTCCACACCAAGCTCCAGCCATCTAAATAGGGTTTTGTTGACCACCTTTGAGGAGGAAGGAAAATGAAATCTCCCATGTATGCCGTTTGGAATTCTTTGAATCTCCCTCATCTGGATTGAGATTCAAGCAGATGACACTGGGAAAGTGACTGATTCTGTACACCCCTTCCCCCAGGGTGGTCTCTCAGCAGCCCCTGCGAGGGCTGTGTCTGCTGTGAAGAATATGAACCTTCCTGAGATCCCGAGGAACATCAACATTGGCGACCTCAACATCAAAGTTCCCAACTTGTCCCAGTTCGTGTGAAGGTGGAGGACCGGGCTGAGCTGGGGTCCTTAGGGTGAGCAAGGCAGTCAAGTTCAGAACTGGAACCCTGGTGAGCCTCTAGAGTCGCACTGAGCCTGCCTTTCACAGAGTGGGCAGGGAGCTGGGTGCACACTGCTCGGCCGTCCTGCTGCTCTCTGATACACATGGCTGTGGTAGACATCGCGCACTACGCCACCGCCCCTTTGCCTCCCACACACAGCTGCCCTCAGGGTTGGGGACTGTGGAACAAGCGGCCTGCTTCCCAGGGCCCCACCACCGGGCCTGAACACATCTGCCTTCCTCCCTAGCACCCAGGGCTTCTGAGCTCCTGTGTCACTCAGTGGGCAGGAGAGCAGAGAGAAGGACCAGCCTTCAGATGCCGACTGTGTCGAGTGGCAGGGTGTACGCTGGCTCTGCTAGGGCCTGCACTCCTAGAGTCCCTTTGTGTAACCAAGCCTTTGGATCAGCAGCTGCTCAGAGCACGTTTCCCCGCTGGCATACTCCCAGTTTTGTTGCCACAGGCATCTGTGTGCTGGACCCAATTTAACACACACACACACGCACACACACATATACACACACACACGCACACACACACACACACACACACACACACACACACACACACACACACACACACACACACACACACACACACACACACCCCAAAGCCCTCTTCCAAATGAGATTGGTGTCTGTAGACTTTGAAGGCTGGATTTTCCCAGAGTTATGACTCTTCCCAAGTTTAAAATACACTGTCCTTCTGGAAGCAGAAGGTTCAGTGGCTGTGTTATGAATGATGAATCATTTCCCCTTGCTCAGAAACCCACTGACCAGTCTCAGAGTTTAGAGCTGAGAGCATGAACCGGGTGCTGTGTGGGCTGAGCAAGCCGCATGCTACCATAGTGTTCTCCACTCCGCGTCCTGCAGTGAGCACACTGGGCTCCTTTGGACGACATTCTCCCACAGCTTTGGAAACCTGTAAATGTTAACGTGCTGAGTCTTCTTCTTATGGCTAATCTGAGCTAAAGCTGCTGCCAGGAGCAGGCCCTCTTCTCCATGCCGTCAGCTGGGTGTCAGGCGTGGCGGAGAAGAACTGGTTCACCTCCCCTCCACGGCCTTGTGATGTTGCTGATGGTCCTAGGAGAACCCCGTGTCAGGACCCGGTCGGTGTTCCTCATTTTCCAGCAGGACTTCTTGTCCCATGCCCACGGCTGCCCACAGCGTCTTGTCCCCATCTTTTCAGCCCTCTGCAATAATGGGCAGTTCGCCAGAGGACAAGATCTGAGACCAAATCCCTAATGCCGTTTTATTGTTTATCTTATTGCCCCTTTTACAATGGCTGGATATGAAGTAGGAATGAAGAAAACCAGTGTTTTTTTGCATCTGCTGTAGGGTGACATGAGCAAGATCCTTTACCAATCTTTGCCACAGACATTGTATTTTTTTAAGATTTGTTTTGAAGGATGGTTGTGGTGGCACACACCTTTAATCCCAGCACTTGGGAGGCAGAGGCAGGCGGATTTCTGAGTTTGAGGCCAGCCTGATCTATGAAGCAAGTTCCAGGACAGCTGTTACACAGAGGATCCCTGCCTTGAAAAACAACAACAACAAGAAGATTTTATTTGTGTTGTTCTTTTGTGTATGTGGGTATGCTCTGAGGCCAGAGGCGGGTTGTGTGCCCTGTGAGGCCAAAAGAAGGTGTAGAATTCCCTGGAGCTGCAGTTACAGAGGTTGAGAAGCCACCCGAAACATGGGTGCTGGGAATGTAACTCAGGTCCCCGCAAGAGCATCAGTGCTCTCAGCTGGAGCCATCCCCCCGGCCCAGCCACAGACACTCAGAAGCACGTTTTGTTGCCAAATAAAGCAGACTTGGGGCAGGTAAATTGCTTCTAGTTCATGCAGAGCTAAAGTCTAAAACATGCCTGCCTGCCTGGCTCCAAAGACCTTGTTTGTCCTTACTACTGAAGATAGCTCCTCCCAGTTTCACAACCCCCTCTTTTATAGATGACAGACAGGGAAACTGAGTCTCAAAGGGATTAAGCCACTCTCAAAAACTAATAGAAGAGGCCTTATTTTTAAGGTAGCCAGCCCAAGAGCTGGATGTCCTCTGTGTCCCTCTGTTAACTGCCTGAGATGAGGCCACCCAGACTGTGTCCAGTTAAGGGTTGTAGCATTCTGAAGGATGCTTGCTGTTGGCTGAAGGCACCATTAAGTCGGAAGTATTGGGCTTCCAAGGTAGTTTGGATTTGAGGTGTTTGCCAGCTAGAAACTACTTTGTTTTTCAAAACTATGACCTGGCCCTGTAGACTGCAAAAGCAAGAACCAGACAATGGCTTGTACCACCCCTTTATAGTGTTGCTTTGGGCTTGGAAAACTCAATTCCTCCAGTTGAGCTGGGGGGATTAATTAATTAATTGTTAATGACTTAAAGCTAGTTTGTCTGCGGCCAGCAAAGCTATAGTCTGAGATCCAGCTCTACCTACTTCTCCCCTTTGGGTTTTGGATCCTCAATTCTCCTTCCTCACCTCCAAAATTGCTATGTGCACTTTCCTGTGAGTAGTTAGAGGAAGTCCTTGATCTTTTTGAAGAGGAGTGTCCCCTTTCGGTTATGCAACCAGGGGCTGAGTTTGTGTTTGCTTTGGGATCCTGAACTTGGAGAATTTGCACTGAGGCTTCCTGGGTTTTCTCACTGCCACTAGTTCAAAACCGGAACCCTCCCACTACCCATTGTCTGTGTAAGTGCCTGATGGGGGTCAAGCTTGGTCCTGAGCTGAGAGACGCTCTCTGTGTGTCACTGTCTTGGAGCTTCCCTGATAGTGCTCACATGGTTGGAACATGACAATCTGGCTGCACAGATCACCTTCCCCAAGCCTGCCCACAGCCCCATATGTGTTACCCTGAGGATATCCTGAGTCTCTCAACCCCTGGGTATTCATGCTCTGCCACATACAGAGACAGCTCTCCCTCCCTCTCCACTACAGAGCTTGTCTAGCCATTTTCTCTGTGACTTCAGCTTCAGAAAAGAAACTAGGAGAAATGGCTCAACCTGTGGCCTAGCCTGTAAAGGGTTTGCTTAGCGTGGCTGTCTATCATCTGTCCACGTCTTTTCAAAGAGCACCCGGGGATAGGTCCATGAAAGTAAAGCTACAGAGTAGGGTCTCGCCCACCTTTGCAGCAGTCAGGATGGAGTACTGAGACCCACCCAGAAGAGTGTGGGCTCTCTGCAGACATCCTGGATGTCCACTGCTCTCAGTGTGCTGACCACCCAGAGTGAGCCAGCTCGATGTGGGAGCGGTTAGACTAATCCCCACCTAGGCCCGAACCTTCAGGTCAAAGTGTCTGCCTTCTTGGAGGCTCTGGAGTGCTCTTCACCCACACCTTCTGGCAGAAGTGGCTGTTGAGGAAACAGCTTGTTGCAAATGACTAATCCTTTCCAGAGTTCTTTCCAAATTGGAAATATATTCATGTAGTTCGGTATTTTTATATGGGGAGGGGAGGTACCCTCAGAGACCAGGAGGCATTGGATCTCTTGGAGCTGGAGTTAATTGGTTATAAATGCCTGACATGAGGGTGCTGGGAACCAAACTTAGAAGAGCAGCAAGAGCTCTTAACTGCTGAGCCATCTCTCAGGCCCCATGCAGTTCACATTAAAAACAAACAAACAAACAAACAAACCAAAGTTCAGCAAAAGACTTAGCCTATGTCCAGCCGCTGAGCACTGTCCCTCCTGACAGCAAGTGTTTGCAACTTAAAGGAGTAAGAAACAAACGTCCTTTCTCTCCACTTTCAAAGCTGAGGACATAGCTTCAGCTGACCTCAGCCCAGTGCAGTCCTGCTATCCTCCAGAAGTGCTGCACCCCCTGCACGTGCACACACAGTCTTACACACACACACACACACACACACACACACACACACACACACACACACACACACCCTGTGAAATAGCAGCTCCTAGGCTTTCTCAGCCTCACCATTCCTTAAGGCACTGGGATACCATGTTGTCTGTTTCCTCCTAGGATGTAAGCCCTCAAGGGCTGGGGGTCAGCCTCCTACCCAGTGCTGTACCTCCCCCTCCCCCACCCGCTGCTCTCCCCGGTGTCTCATTCATACTGCTCAATAAAAATGGTAGATGAGTGGGCAGCGGGGGACAGCAGAACTTCATCCTTACAGCATCTCTGGACAGAGACGAGGGGTGGGACGGCCATTGCTGCATGGGGCAAGGATTGTATTGAGAGGAGACGGGATGCAGGCATGTTAAGCTGAAGTTGCCTGGGCTAGATGCCCGCTGGTGAATGAGTGGACAGGAGACTGACATGTATGGAGTTGTTTGGGCCCAATTAAAGTGGGGTCAGATAAGCACCCCCTACTTTCTTTGGGAAATAACCTTTAGGCCTTTTCAAGAACATAGTTTGTATTTTTGGCAGCTATGCCATCAGACTGGGATCCTGGGAGCACTTGGGAATGAATGAGGACCCTGTCTCGGGGGCGGGGATGGGAAGGCTGGAGACTGTCTTCTGCATGATGGAGAACAGTTTTTGCAAGCTCCTGAGAGAAAAGTACAGCTAAAATACTGTAAAGGAGTTCCAGGTACAGTTGTCAAACATGAGTCCCCCAGTCCCTCAGACTGAGAATGCTCAACGTCCAGATACTCCCCGATTTAGAACAGGTTTTGTTTCTATAATGCCACCACCATTTGGAAACACCCTCAGTTGAAAATGTAACTGAATGGCCTGTGCTGGTCAGCTTACTGTAGCATCACAGTGATCCACATGGAGCTGTGGAATGGCAGGACCCACAGCTAAAGGACACTTTCTGCGTCTTTTCACACCATCCGACTTACCAAGCAGCATGAGTTAAGACCCCAGTCGCAGTGGGGGAACTGATCTGGGGGTAAGGGGCTATATGTAGTAGACTGGCCTTGAGCCTCTTCAAGGTGACAGATGGGCAGCGTGACACACAGGTCGCTGCATCTGGGGCTGCATCTCAATTCTTTGCTGTCCCAGAAGAGACAGAGAAAAGCCTGTGGTTTCATTGGTTAGTATGCCTCTTACCCAAGAGGGACAAGTGTCTTCCCACAGTGGAGCTTGCAGTCGGGGTCATGAGATTGCTACAACGCCAGGGCATTTTCCCTCCATGGGAGCAACCGCCACCCTTCTCCAGCCTAGAGTGCAGGGCACTGGGCATGTGACACCCTTCACCTGGCTCTCGCTGTAGGCTGTCTGAGCCATGCTCCCTGGCCAGAGGTAGCTGCAGGCCAGAGACCGCAGCATCGGGCCTGTGGTGCAATCTTTCCTGTTACAGAAATGATTTCCACACCAAAGCAAACTGTTTGAACCCACAACTTTGAAACCAGCTTTCCTAGATTTTGCATTAAGGATTGAAGGTTTGGTTAGCCCCACCCCCACAGCTGTCCCTGAGGTAGGTAGTGTCCACCTTGAGTTTGATTCAGGACCTTGAGGGACACTTTGTCCCTATTTATCCTAGCTCTGTTTGTGCTTTTCTACTCCTGGAGCCTGCTTACCCTGGGACCTACAACATGGCCCAGTAGCTATTTAAAGTATGCGATGAATGTTACACCATTGAGAGGAAAGCCTGATAGTAATGATGTAAAGACAGCGCGGTTTTTTCTTTTCTTTTCTTTTGTTTTTCGAGGCAGGGTTTCTCTGTGGCTTTGGAGGCTGTCCTGGAACTAGCTCTTGTAGACCAGGCTGGTCTCGAACTCTCAGAGATCCGCCTGCCTCTGCCTCCCGAGTGCTGGGATTAAAGGCGTGCGTCACCACCGCCCAGCAGGACAGCATGTTTTAAAGCCCTGAATAAAACATAAATGCGGGACTGAAGAGGTAGTTCAGTGGTTAAGAGCACTTGCTGCTCTTCCAGAGGATCCAAGTTCGGTTCCCAGCACCCAAAACAGGTAGCTCACAGTCATCTGTAATTCTAGCTCTAGGGGATCCAACACTCTCTTCTGGCCTCAGTGGGCGCCCACACATGATATGCGGATATATACGAGCATATGCAAGGGGGTGCTCTTTTTCTCTCTACACACACACACACACACACACACACACACACACACACGTACGTTAGGTCTCAAGCCTGGGACAAATGGCTAACTGGGGTGCCTATTTAACATCAAAGTAGATCTGTCACCCAGGTTAGTATCCCTCAGTCCCTACCTGTTACAGGGTCATCCTGGGTGCCATATCCCTCCCCCTCCCCTGAACACTTCAGCTCGGGGGCTAAACTTCCTCTCCCCAGTCTCTGGTCCCTGTGTAACTCAGCCATTTTGGCTGCACTGGTCTCTTGGCCTTTGCCTCCTGTCCTCTTGGCTCCCACCTCTCTCCTCCTCTTCTGTCCTCACAAGGCCCCACCCAGTCTGCTGGTCATGTCCACTCTCCCAGATGTCCCTATCTCTGACCCTGGTCCCCCTCATATCTACAATAAGCCTTCTCCACCATAGGAGCAGTCATGTCCTTCTTTTGTCTCTTTTTTTATTCAGGAACCACATTTTTAAAAATCTTTAAAATACCAGGTGGTGGTGGTGGTGGTGGTGGCGCACGCCTTTAATCCCAGCACTCTGGAAGCAGAGGCAGGCGGATCTCTGTGAGTTTAAGGCCTGCCTGGTCTACAAAGTGGTTCCAGCACATCCAGGACTGTTACACAGAGAATCCTGCCTCAAAGCAAGCAAAAAACAAACAAAGAAAAAACCTTTAAAAAAAAGAGCATTGGTGTGTCTGAGTGGCTCTGCCACTTCCAGATGTGTGACTTGGGCAGCGTCCCTAACCCTCTGTGTCTGATTCCTCATCTGAGAAATGGGAACAGCCCAGCTCTCTGGCATGAGTCAGCCTCCTCAGCACAAACAAGACTCAATCCAGGAGCAGCATTAGACAATATTCATTTTAGTCTTGGGAATTTGGGGGTTTATTTTGCTTTTGAGATAGGGTCTGTCTATGTAGCCCTGGCTGTTTTGGACTCTGAGACTCAATGCTGGCATTGCCAACACTGGACGTGAGGGCCACAGACAGAGGCAGAATCCCAGCAGGCACCCTTGATGGGTGAAGGGCTGAGCCTGGTGGCCAGGAAGTTGAGGGAAGCCGGTCCTGAGCACGTGTGGTGGGGGCTGCCTGGTGTGGAAGAACAGGGATGGCTGTCACATGCCTGCAGAAGATGGGATTCAGCACTCATCCAGAATGCTCAGGCTCAGGCACGGAGCCTTGCCGAGTATGTGCTCACTGCATGACTCAGGGAAGCCACACCAGTTCATGTGTGTTCAGAAGATGTGGGCAGAATGACAAGAGCATTACACATGCTTTTCAAGGCCTGGGACACAGCATAGTGTTCTAGTTTCCTTCCTGTTGCTGTGGCATTACTTGGTCAAAAGCAACTTAGGAGAAGAAAGAATTTATTTGACTTACACTTCTAGGTCACAGACCATTGTTGAGGGAGGTCAAGGCAGGAACCAGAAGCAGAAACCATGGAGGAATGCTGCTTGCCGGCCGCTCAAAGACTCATGATCTCATGATTAGCTAACTTTCTTTTTTGTTTCTACACACACACACACGGTTCTCTGTGTAGCTCTGGCTGTAGACCAGGCTGGCTTTGAACTCCGCCTGCTTTTGCCTCCTGAGTGCTGGGATTAAAGATGTGTTCTACCACTGCCTGGTTTAGCTAACTTTCTGGTACAGCCCAGGACCACCTGCCTAGGGATGGTATCACCCACAGTGGGCTGATCCTCCTTTTCCAATTGGCAACTAAGACACACGCACATCAAAAACAACAAACATGCTCTTAGAACTAGGTAATTTCTCAGTCGAGGCTTGCATCTGAGATGACTCTAGGCTGTGTCAAGTTGACAATTAAAGAAAGGGAACTAGGATACCACACAGAACAAGCCCCAGCTAACCACGGCACCTTGTTTCATGGAGCCAGAAAGCAGGTGCTAAGGCAGGCTGACCAGTGGGAGAGGCAGAAACAACTTTGCCTAAGGCAAAGTTTCATTTATGACAACCTTGAAGACAGGTGAGAGGAATCTCTGGCCCTCAGAAGTCAGGAGAAGGGTGAGTCAGCCAGGCACAGTGGGGCTCCTACAGGGCAGAGCTCTCTCCTCTCTATCCTGTTCACTTGTTCGCTTGGGTGCACATGTTCTGAAGCGTGTTCTCCACTTAGAATTTGTCTCTCTCGGGGGACTGGAGAGATGGCTCAGCAGTTATGAAGAGCATTGTCCAGAGGACCTGGGTTCAATTCCCAGCACCCACACAGCAGCTCACAACTGTCTGTTACTTCAGTTCCAGATTTCTGACACCGTTACACAGACACACATGCAGGCAAAACATTAATGCACAGAAAAGAATTTGCCTTTTGTTGTAGGCATGCTATACTTCCGGTGGGGGGGGGCGAGCAACAACCAGGCATGGTGGGGATTTCTATATTGCCCTGCACTCTGAAGATGGGCAGGAGCATTGCTCCAAATCTGAGGCCAGCTTGGCCTATATGAAGCCCCGTCTCAAAATATACAGTTGTATGGGTGGAAAATCATCTGCAAGAAGCATCTGGGACAGTGACTGACTGGGGAGATGAGCTGAAGAAATGGTAGCCGTGGATTTCAGCGTCATTACTGCCATTGTCCCGCTGCCCCGTTTCATGAGGCTGGGACAGACACCTGTGTTCTCAGGTACCTCAGAGGGCTCTGAACTCAGCATGGAGGGTTCTGTCCTGGGATATGAAGAGAGACCTCCGGGGGAAGCACATCTCAATGGCCCCCGAGGGCTCTAGCCAGTCCCTGCGGGGTGTGCCTTAGGCTGAGCGAGGACCAAAACCCAAGGCCTGGAGCCAGAGGACAAAATCTCTTCCAAAATCCTCCACCATGAAGGAGAAGATCCCCTGAAGCATGAGCTAAAACAGACCCTCCTTGTCTAATGCACACACACACACACTCACTTTCCTTTTTCTTTTCTGGAGTCTGAGAAGTCCTGTGTATTGCATGACCATGATCCCATGAAGGAGCTGATGTGGACGGACAATCAGACTTTAGAAGGAAGACACCCCCTCCACAACCACAGCAGTCCTGAGAGCACAGTGCTCTCTCACAGGCCCCGCCCCCACATTGCTACTCTGGGGGTACAGGCCCCGGCTCCTGGTCTTTG